GGGACTAGGGGTCTCGGGCCACTACCTCCTCCACCCCGTCTTCGGTCTTCAACTGGTTAACTCTGACCACGAGTGCTCTCGCGCGTCTCCCTTTATACCCCTCCTGCGGACGTCGCTGAGAGCACCCACTTATCTGACCAATCACTGCGCACTCGCTACGATCCTCTTTTCCCAGCTTGTGTGAGCGCGCCTTACCACCGGCGCGCGCGTCCATGCCACGCCCACATCGTGTGCCCAACCCCGCGCCCCGTGATCCATCACTGCCGGCGCACGTCAATACCACCACTACAAATGTATAAGTGGACATTTGAACCTCATGGTAGGACCCCAGGCTCCCATAAGCCCCCGGGGCTCTCGCATAAGGGGCCGTCCATAAATGACGTCACGCGATTTTGGTCGATTTTGACCCCCCCCCATCGTCACACGGCGTCACAAAAAGTCAGACCCCCTCCCCCTCAAATATGACGTCACAAAGCTCTGCCCTCCCCCCCCCCAAAAAAAATAAAACATGCTTCAAATCGCTTTAAACTATTGTCATTGTAGTGCGTATTTAATGTGGCGTTGCACTCTGATGTTGTAGGAGAAAACATTTATTTAAAAGTATATTTAACTAAGTAGAACGTGTTGTCTATATTGATTTAAAGTTGCGCATTTGATGTCACATTTCTAAACCGCCCCTCCCCTCGTCACACATCGTCACAAATGTCTGAAATCCCCCCCCGCCCCCAGGTGCGTGACATAATTTATGGACGGCCCCTAAACTGCGTTGCGACGTCATTGTATGTCTGTTGAAGGCGAACGACACGGCGATCTGTTCCTCTCGACGAGCTCTACACGATGCGCTCATTAAAGTTTCAAAGTTTTGTTTTTTCTGCGCATTCGTTCTCGTTGCGCTTGGACGACACGACAACAGAATGATCCGCGCCAAGTGGGTCGCGGTGTTGATGTCGCCAAAAAATAATTAATTATTTGAGGGTTTTTTTGTGTTTATTCTGGACCCCGGGGTCCCGCCATGAGGTTCATTTGGCTTTCGCGTATTCACAGAGCGCCAGGCCACCGCTCCCGTTTCCAGGCCGGTCATAGCCTCCGCCAGCAGGAGGAGCGGTGGCGCAGCGGTTAGCGCACCCGCACCGCGCTGCCGAAACGAACGCCCGGCGACGTGAAATTCGTGCGGCCGCTCACGACCAATAAGCACAGCGGGCAGGGGATATACGAGGCGGCCATTGGGCCCCCGTCTTGGTAGACTCGGCTTAACACGTGGTAGGGATTTCATGGCCAAATATCATCCATAACAGAGGGGTTTTTAGGGTTAGATCGCGTCAATATGAAGGCGTCGTTAAACCAGGTAAGGCCCCCACTGAGCTCGTAACGAATTGGCACGTTCCGTTTACGTGACCAACCTCACTCGTTGGCCGTGTCGGGTGGTGGCGGGTTTAACGACACACATTTGTATTTACGCAATGTAATCCCAAAAAAAACACCCTCTGTTATGGGCAGACTCTGCCTGCAATGAGCAACTGGTGCATGAACCAAAAACACATCCATTAATTCTAGACTTTAAGTTTCCGTGACTGCAAGGATTCATACTCTTTGTATTTTTTCAGTAAAGTCACGTAGGTAAAAAATTCAAATAAATTAAATCACGACGTTTCGGAGGCAACACAAGCTCCCGTCTTTAGGTGGAACCGTCATAGCTGTGACTTTACCGAAAAAACCAAAGAGTACAAAAACACATCGGCACTGTGGGAGATAAACACGGCGGGCCGCGTGCGTTGTGTTGCCAACCGACCCACCCATAACTCCTTATCGACGCTACTCGCTCACAGCCCTTAGCCACGTGGCCTGACCCAGCTACCCCCCCCCATCTTCCTATGGAACTGCACCGTGTTCAGTGAACTCCAGCAGGGGGTGGTGGGTGATGGGCCAAGTTGCCTGCTCGCAACAGCTTCAAAGATCCATCAACCCCCCTCCACAGCTCGCAACCAGGAGGCGTTGCCGTGGTCGTTTTCGGAAGGACGGGACAGAACCTGGCTGGCTTAGGACGGAAACAAGTTTGCCGTGCCGTTCGGTGGCCGATCCAGCGCCCACCACCACGACCTCACCCCCTGCCGTTGGTCGTGCATGCTAAACTAAAACTAATAGGGGTTTTCCCATTTTTTCTGGCAACAAAACGGACATCTTTTTCAAGGAATCATGTTAACATTAACCACAATACTTGCAGTCAAATGCAAACAAATACTCTGATAATTAATGCATTGTCCTTGAAACTGATTGGTCCACACCAGAGACGGAGTATTGTTTTTTGTTTGCATTTGACTGCAAGTATTGTGGTTAACGTTAACATGAGTCCTTGCAAAAGGTGTCAGTTTTGTTGCCAGAAAAAATGGGAAAACGCTATTAGTATATTTTGGTACTGGTGTAGAGAAGTAAAATGGGGACGTGACATCGTGTGCCGTCCAGTGCGATGACGTCACGTTACATGACGTCATGCGCGCTGGGCAGCTCGATGACGTCATGTCTCAGAGTATTTAAGGGAGACCCCGTGACGAAAGCGGGGTCACTGTGGGAACGAGTAGAGTGAGAAGGGTAGAGAGGGAACCAGGGTGTAGAGGGACGAAGTCGTGAGTCTGGAAGGACGCCAGTGGTAGCCGATAGGTGCTTCTCCCTCCGGTCGGTGGAGTTGGCAGAGTCCCCGATCCGACACGGAAAGACTGGAGCTAGCCGGGCAGCGACCAGGACTCAGCGTAGGACCCCTAACCCCTGGGAGTTGTTACACCCTTGTTTGTTAAGTTGTAAAGTCTGTAATAAACCTTTGGCGAAAGCCCCTCAACTTACCTCCGTCTCCGAGTGCGTCCTGGGAACTCCTCAACACTGGTAAAGGAGGCCTCATGATGTAGATGCTTACCCCGAGCTCTCATTACTCTGATAGTGCGTTGTCTTTGAACTGTGCGCCTTTTGGCGTCATCTGGTCGAACACCATAAGAGACTCGGCTCTAAGAAAAGCTGTCTCTGGTGTGGACCAATCAGCTGCGTAGCTCTTTTTCAGAAGCAACCTGGCCACCAAAATTGACAGCTCGACGAAGCGGCTCATCGTCGTCGTGTGGAAATCTGTAGCAGCCAAATACTCGAAACGCGTGATGTTCATTCTCAACGTGGAGGGAAAATTCGGAGAGCCCGGAGCAAAATCCACGCTACCATGGGGAGAGACACGCAACCTTCAAATATACGAGGAGGCCGCTCTTCTTCTCCTTTTCTACAGTTACATGCTAATTTCTCACATTAACATCATGCTAATGTCTCCCATTAACATAGACACTTCCGTGCCCTCTAATCTCTCACATTAAAATAGCCACTTCCGTGCCCCCTAATCTCTCACATTAACATCATGCTAATCTCTCACATTAACATAGCCACTTCCGTGCCCTCGTCTAGGAGGCCGCTCTCCTCCTATCTTACAGTTACACGCTAATTTCTCACATTAACGTCACTAGCCCCGGCCACTTCTTTATAACCCTTGAGCTACACCCATTTCAAACCTTTTAAAACAGTCTGCCTCAGCAGCAAACCACGCTGTCCCACCTGATGACGGACGCTTGTGTTTGCGCCCGAAACGTCGTGGTTTATTTTATTTTATACCCACGTGACTTTACCGAAAGAACCAAAGCGTATACAGCAGACGTCAGGGTCAGGATCGAACTCATGCCCTCCTGTAAACCAGGCGAGGTAGTTAAAATCAATCTTCATTTGAAGTAAACATCTCCAAGCCACCGCTGCGCCCCATGCTCAGGCGTAGGAGCAGCTACCCGTCAGCCCCCATCACCGGCCCTCTCAACCGCCCACCCGGGCCCACGGCGATTCTTTTGGAGTGCTAAGATCGCGAGCCCAACGCGCGTGCATGTCTGTGTGCCTGTGTGGTGTGTGTATGTATGTATGTGGTGTGTGTATGCCTGTGTGTGCGGCGCGGTGAGCGTGCAGCGCTATGAACCCGGCGACCCGAGTTCGATTCCCGCTCATGGCCAACACACAGTGATGATTATCTGAACCGGTCCGGAGCCTCCCCTAGATCGACTCAGCCTAAAATGAGTAACCAGTGTGGTGTAAAATTGCCACTGGGGAGACAAAGGCGGCTGGGCGTGGTTGCTGGCCACCCACCCCTCTCGTGTGCCGTGCCGGCCTTCATAGGTGTTCACTAACAGCACTTGCCCCAACAGTCTGTTAAGGCTAAACGGGGGATATTTTTTGTGCGTGCGTGTGCAATCTGGACACATTCCCATCAGTGAGCTCCTCCGGCCGGCAAAGCTACATTGGCTGGGTCATGCAGCACCGCCTGCCCTGCCAACGCATGCCCAAAGCAGCTTCTGTTTGGCTGCATAGAGGGGGCTAAACGTGAACATGGCCTGGAGAAGAGATGGAGCTGATGCAGTACGGGAAGACATGGAGCAGAGTGGATTTGCCGATGATCGGTACCAGTGGTGTCAAGATCAGCCTCTTTGGAGGAGGCTCGTGAAGGACGCTGCTACTGGGCAGTTGGAGGCAGTCGTCCTCCAGCAACAACGGAGGTCAGAGGAGCGACACTCACAACAACGAGCGGAGTGTCAGGCGGATAATATACAGCAAGTTGGCACGGTAGGGGGCACAGGTGGTGCATCTGCCGGTCATCTCAGTCGGTCAACCCACGGCATCTGCTGGGTCTGTCCCGGGACCTCCTGCCAGCGGGTGTTCGACACTTCACGTGGCCTTAACGTGCACATAGCCTGGCACAGGTGCCGTGGTGATATCACCGGCACTTCGTGGCAAATGGCGGGTCTCGGTGTGTGTGGGTGACAACACCGCGTCGACGACACAGGGATGGTGGGTGGCCGAGTGTTTATTTACAAAAGGATTCAGCCGTGGACAATTTTAGAAGCCCACAGACATTGGGTTTTTTTAACGCCGGCAAGCAATGGCCGTGGCCGCCCCCCCCCCCACGCCCCCCTCCCCCCATCCCCGCCCCTACCCCCACGCCCCCCTCCCCCCATCCCCGACCCTACCCCCAACTCTCCTCCCCCCCTGGACCCCTCGAAAGATCTTTAAGGTCCACGTAGCAGCCCTTCCTGCCTGCATGCATGTGGAGGATTGTTTAACCAGCCGCAATACAGCACAGGTGGTCACCGCTAGCGGGAGTCGAACCTGACCCCCCCCCCCTCCCCCGTGGCGGTGAGCTGACTCGGAGGGGAGGTCGCTGCCCAGTGTCTGACACAGGTGAGGGTGAGTGTGTGTGTGTATGTGAGAGGTGGGTGTGGGAAAGAGGGTGTGCAAGAGGGTGAGTGTGTGTGGGGGAGAGGGTGAGTGTGTGTGGGGGAGAGGGTGAGTGTGTGTGGGGGAGAGGGTGAGTGTGTGTGTATGAGAGGGTGAGTGTGAGAGAGAGGGTGAGTGTGTGGGGGAGAGGGTGAGTGTGCGTGTGTGTGAGAGGGTGAGTGTGTGGGGGAGAGGGTGAGTGTGTGTGGGGGAGAGGGTGAGTGTGTGCGTGTGCGAGAGGGTGAGTGCGTGTGGGGGAGAGGGTGAGTGTGTGTGTGTGTGAGAGGTGCGTGTGGGAGAGAGGGTGAGTGTGTGGGAGAGGGTGTGTGCGAGAGGGTGAGTGTGTGGGGGAGAGGGTGAGAGTGTGTGGGAGAGAGGGTGAGTGTGTGCGTGTGCGAGAGGGTGAGTGTGTGCGTGTGCGAGAGGGTGAGTGTGTGTGGGGGAGAGGGTGAGTGTGTGTGGGGGAGAGGGTGAGTGTGTGTGGGGGAGAGGGTGAGTGTGTGTGGGGGAGAGGGTGAGTGTGTGTGGGGGAGAGGGTGAGTGTGTGTGTATGAGAGGGTGAGTGTGAGGGGGAGAGGGTTAGTGTGCGTGTGTGTGAGAGGGTGAGTGTGTGAGAGAGGGTGAGTCTGTATGAGAGAGAGGGTGAGTGTGTGTGGGAGTGGGTGAGTGTGTGGGAGTGTTTAGTGAAGTGGTGAGTATTCTTAAGAGGGTGCGTGGTTAGTATGCAGCCGAGCATTGTGAGTGGCGAGTGTGGATGAGTGGTGAGTGCATCAATAAGCTGGCGGGTGTGGTGAACGCATCAGTAATCTGGTGAGTGGTGAGCGCATTAGTAAGCTGGTGAGAGTGGTGAGCGTGGATGAGTGTGGTGACAGCTTCAATTATCCCGTGAGTGCAACACCAATAAGCCTATAAGTGCATCAGTAAGCCGGTGAGTGCAACATCAGTAAGCCGTGTGAGTGCATCAGTAAGCCGGTGAGTTTGGTGTGTGCATCTGTAAGCCGGTGAGTGTGGTGAGTGCATCTGTAAGCTGGTGTGTGGTGAGTGCATCAGTAAGCCGGTGAGTGTGGTGAGTGCATCAGTAAGCCGGTGAGTTTGGTGTGTGCATCTGTAAGCCGGTGAGTGTGGTGAGTGCATCTGTAAGCTGGTGTGTGGTGAGTGCATCAGTAAGCCGGTGAGTGTGGTGAGTGCATCAGTAAGCCGGTGAGTTTGGTGTGTGCATCTGTAAGCCGGTGAGTGTGGTGAGTGCATCTGTAAGCCGGTGAGTGTGGTGAGTGCATCTGTAAGCCGGTGAGTGTGGTGAGTGCATCAGTAAGCCGGTGAGTGTGGTGAGTGCATCAGTAAGCTGGTGAGTGTGGTGAGTGCAACATCAGTAAGCGGGTGAGTGCAACATCAGTAAGCTGGTGAGTGCAACATCAGTAATCTGGCGAGTGCAACATCAGTAATCTGGCGAGTGTGGTGAGTGCAACATCAGTAAGCGGGTGAGTGCAACATCAGTAATCTGGCGAGTGTGGTGAGTGCAACATCAGTAAGCTGGTGAATGCAACATCAGTAATCTGGCAAGTGTGGTGAGTGCAACATCAGTAAGCCGGTGAGTGCAACATCAGTAAGCGGGTGAGTGCAACATCAGTAAGCGGGTGAGTGCAACATCAGTAAGCGGGTGAGTGGGCATCGCGCGTCGGGGTGAAGAGGACGTCGGCCTTGGAGTTAACGAGGTAGACGGAGCACAGAGACAGCGCCAGCACCAGGCAGCCCACGGCCAGCGTCACGTGCTGCACGACGCACACGAGGGGCATCAAGACCACGACGTCACGACCACAGTGCCACAACAACGACTGCTGTGTGTGTAGCTGTGTGTCTATCCGTGTGTGTGTCTATCCGTGTGTGTGTCTAGCCGTGCGTGTATCTGGCTGGCTGTGTGTGTAGTTGTATGTCTATCCGTGTGTGTGTGTCTATCCGTGTGTGTGTGTCTATCCGTGTGTGTGTCTATCCGTGTGTGTGTGTCTATCCGTGTGTGTGTGTCTATCCGTGTGTGTGTGTCTATCCGTGTGTGTGTGTCTATCCGTGTGTGTGTGTCTATCCGTGTGTGTGTGTCTATCCGTGGGTGTCTATCCGTGGGTGTCTATCCGTGCGTGTGTCTATCCGTGCGCGTGTCTATCTGCGTGTGTATCCATCCGTGTGTGTGTCTATCCGTGTATGTGTCTATCCGTGTGTGTGTGACTATCCGTGTGTGTGTCTATCCGCGTGTGTATCTATCCGTGTGTGTGTGACTATCCGTGTGTGCGTCTGGCTGGCTGTGTGTGTAGTTGTGTGTCTATCCGTGTGTGTGTGTCTATCCGTGTGTGTGTCTATCCGTGTGTGTGTCTATCCGTGTGTGTGTCTATCCGTGTGTGTGTCTATCCGTGTGTGTGTCTATCCGTGTGTGGGTCTATCCGTGTGTGTGTCTTGCCTTGTGTGTGTCTGGCTGGCTGTGTGTGTAGTTGCGTGTCTATCCGTGTGTGTGTCTATTCGCGTGTGTGTCTATCCGTGCGTGTGTCTATCCGTGCGCGTGTCTATCCGCGTGTGTATCTATCCGCGTGTGTGTTTGGCTGGCTGTGTGTGTCTATCCGTGTGTGTGTCTATCCGTGTGTGTGTCTCGCCGCGCGCGTCTCTGCCTGGCCGCGCGAGCGAGCGCCGCCCACCTCGAGCTGGGGGCTGGCGACCAGGAAGAGGCGCGCCCGCAGCTGCTTCCAGCGCGACTCTGTCCACGTGGAGTACTCCCCCGAGTCGAAGTCCCGCAGCTCGAAGGCGGGCGACACGGCGGGCGACAGGTGCGCCGTGCTGCGCGTGCAGAAGCCAGCGCCCTCCTTGTCCCCAGCCTCGGCCCCCTTGCCCGGCGGGGAGCCCATGACCCAGATGTACTTGAACATCTGGTGGAGAGGAGAGGAGGTGGTGGTGGTGGGTGGGGTGGGGGAAGGAAGTGGAGGATGAGGAGGATGAGGAGGGCGACACGAAGGGGGTGGAGGGAGTGTTAGGTGGTAATGGAGGAAGGCGACATGGAGGAGGAAGAGTAAGCGGAAGAAGAGGAGGAAGAGGAGGGGGGGAAGAAGAGGGGGGGGGGAAGGGGGGGGGAAGAGGAGGGGGAAGAAGAGGAGGGGGGGGGAAGAGGAGGGGGGGGGGAAGGGGGGGGAAGAGGGGGGGGGGGAAGAGGAGGGGGGGGAAGAGGAGGGGGGGGGGAAGGGGGGGGGAAGAGGAGGGGGAAGAAGAGGAGGGGGGGGAGAAGAGGAGGGGGGGGGGAGGGGGGGGGAAGAGGAGGGGGAAGAAGAGGAGGGGGGGGAAGAGGAGGGGGGGGGGAAGGGGGGGGGAAGAGGGGGGGGGGGAAGAGGAGGGGGGGGAAGAGGAGGGGGGGGGGAAGGGGGGGGGAAGAGGAGGGGGGAGAAGAGGAGGGGGGGGGAAGAGGAGGGGGGGGGGAAGGGGGGGGGGAAGAGGGGGGGGGAGAAGAGGAGGGGGGGGGAAGAGGAGGGGGGGGGGGAAGGGGGGGGGAAGAGGGGGGGGGGAAGAGGAGGGGGGGGGAAGAGGAGGGGGGGGGGAAGGAGGGGGGGGGGGAGAAGAGGCAGGTGACACACAGGGTGGAGGAAAGGGGGGGGGGTTAAACCAGTTGGGCTCGTTGTACTTGAGTCACGGTCCTGTCAAGCCGGCTCCACCCTCCCCACTTAGCCTGGCCTTGCGGCAGCCGCTAAAGAGATGAACGCTCTCCCTTCAACCCCCTGCCCCCCATCTCCACCACGCTCACTCCGCTGCGGCTGGACCACTCACAATGTCAAAGGCACAAGGTGGCAAGATGGGCCTGGGTTCGATTCCAGACTTTCCGTGTGCGGTTTGCACCGTCTCTGCCCTGTTCTGCAGAGTGTGTGGGGCTTGGGCAACACGGTAGTGAGATGTTACCTCGCCTGGTATGCAGGAGGTCGTGGGTTCGATCCCGAAACCGATGACGCTCGTTATATTTGGAGTTTGTGTGTCTCTCTCCCCGTGGTCGCGTGGATTCTCCTCTGGGTTCCTCTGGTTTTTACCTCCACATTTAGAATCAACATCATACGTTGGTTGCTGCTATCAATTTACCACGTGATGATGGCAAGCCACTTTGTTGAACTACCCTTCGTGAGAGCCAGTTCGCTTCCGAAAAAATATCTCCACCGCTCGGCGTGGGCCTTACCTGGTCAAATAGAATAGTGCCGCGATTGGCGAGCTGCGCTACGAACCCGGCGGCCCGAGAGCGCTTCCCGCTTGCGACCAACACCAGCGACGATTGTCTGAGCCGGTCCTGGCCACCCCCTCCCCCAGGTCTACTCAGCCTAAAACAATGATCATCTGGTGCAATGTGTGAACATCGCCACTGGCCGTCATAGGTGCTGCTCGCGAACAACCTGTTAAGGCTACACGGAGGATCTTTGTCTTTGGGGAGCGGTAGTGCGTCACGGTGGAGAGACGTTAACACGCCTGGTATACAGGAGGTCGTGGGTTCGAGCCCAACTCTGACGTCTGCTGTACAACTGGAGTTGGCGCGTCTCTCTCTCCACTTGGTTCGACCAATCATTCGCGATGGTCGCTTATTACAAAAAAAAACACCTATACAGCTCAGTAGGGCCTTTACCCAGTTTGAAAAAAAACTATTGTTTGTGGTTCTTGGTTCTTTCGGTAAAGTCACGTAGAAGGGAAATACTAAAATAATAATAAAACAATAAAATTATCCCGACGTTTCGATTGCAACACAAGCAATCATCATCAGGTGTGCAACCCACAGCAACAAAATTTGAAAAAAGGGGCGTTTTTTTTTAACGTCGGCACCACGGACAGCGACTGGCGGTTGTTCAGACGGACGAGTCCATCTATGCTCGGAACGGAGGAGGGGGGAGAGGAAGAGAATGGAGAGCGGTCTGAAAGTCACCGCAAGCGTGAACACAACCAACTAAGACCCGAAATGGTTTATCAAATCCTTCCAATGATTGCCAAGCCAGAATCCATCTTCTCGGTTGAAATTGTCTCTGTGTTTGTATATGTGGAATGCCTCATGAACGAATCTCTGATGGTAGCCGGATGGCTTTACAGAAAGAACCAAGAATATGAATCCCTGCAGTCACGAAAGCTTTAAATCAAAATTGTTCACGGATTTCAGAGTTCGGCCGTCGCAGGTGCTGCTCACTAACAGCACTTGACCCCAGCGGCCTGCGGAAGGCTACGCCGGGCGGGCGGGGGGCTGTTGTCTGTGTGGTGGCGGCGGCGCTGCTGTGACGTCGTCGTTGTTGTCGTGCGGTCACCTCCTCGTCGGCGACGCCGTGCTTCTTGGGGTCGCGGCAAGCCGTCTCGTTGAGGGGCATCGCGGTGCCCGTGAGGTTGGCGAGCGCGTGCAGCGCCACCTGCGTGATGTCGTTGTGGCTCCAGTTGTCGCTCACGCCCACGTAGAAGCTGAGCGCGTGGCGGCCTGGGCACACGCACGCACGCACATGCCGGTACACACACAAGCAGATACACGCAGTATACACACACGCAGATACACACACAGTATACACGCGCAGATACACACACGCACATGCCGGTACACACACACGCAGATACACACACAGTATACACGCGCAGATACACACACGCACATGCCGGTATACACACACGCAGATACACACACAGTATACACGCGCAGATACACACACAGTATACACACGCGCAGATACACACACAGTACACACACACGCAGATACACACAGTATACACACAGTATACACACAGTACACACGCAGATACACACACACGCAGATACACACACACGCAGATACACACACAGTATACACGCACGCAGATACACACACACGCAGATACACACTCAGATACACACACACACAGTATACACACAGTACACACACACGCAGATACACACACACGCAGATACACACACAGTATACACACACGCAGATACACACACACGCAGATACACGCACAGTATACACGCGCAGATACACACGCGTAGAAACACACACGCAGATACACACACAGTATACACATGCAGATACACGCACAGTATACACACACAGTATACACACACAGTATACACATGCAGATACACACACGCAGATGCACACAGTATACACGCGCAGATACACACACAGTATACACGCACAGTATACACACACAGTATACACACACGCAGATACACACAGTATACACACACGCAGATACACACAGTATACACACACGCAGATACACGCACAGTATACACACACGCAGATACACACAGTATACACACAGTACACACACAGTATACACGCACGCAGATACACACGCGCAGATACACACACAGTACACACACACGCAGATACACACAGTATACACACAGTATACACACAGTACACACGCAGATACACACACACGCAGATACACACACAGTATACACACACGCAGATACACACACAGTATACACGCGCAGATACACACACGCACATGCCGGTACACACACACGCAGATACACACACAGTATACACGCGCAGATACACACACGCACATGCCGGTATACACACACGCAGATACACACACAGTATACACGCGCAGATACACACACAGTATACACACGCGCAGATACACACACAGTACACACACACGCAGATACACACAGTATACACACAGTATACACACAGTATACACACACAGATACACACACACGCAGATACACACACACGCAGATACACACACAGTATACACGCACGCAGATACACACACACGCAGATACACACTCAGATACACACACACACAGTATACACACAGTACACACACACGCAGATACACACACACGCAGATACACACACAGTATACACACACGCAGATACACACACACGCAGATACACGCACAGTATACACGCGCAGATACACACGCGTAGAAACACACACGCAGATACACACACAGTATACACATGCAGATACACGCACAGTATACACACACAGTATACACACACAGTATACACATGCAGATACACACACGCAGATGCACACAGTATACACGCGCAGATACACACACAGTATACACGCACAGTATACACACACAGTATACACACACGCAGATACACACAGTATACACACACGCAGATACACACAGTATACACACACGCAGATACACGCACAGTATACACACACGCAGATACACACAGTATACACACAGTACACACACAGTATACACGCACGCAGATACACACGCGCAGATACACACACAGTACACACACACGCAGATACACACAGTATACACACAGTATACACACAGTACACACGCAGATACACACACGCAGATACACACACAGTATACACACACGCAAATACACACACAGTATACACACACGCAGATACATGCACGCAGATACACACACACGCAGATACACACACTCAGATACACACACACACAGTATACACACAGTATACACACACGCAGATACACACACACGCAGATACACGCACAGTATACACGCGCAGATACACACGCGCAGAAACACACAGTATACACGCGCAGATACACACGCGCAGAAACACACACGCAGATACACACACAGTATACACATGCAGATACACACACGCAGATGCACACAGTATACACGCGCAGATACACACACAGTATACACGCGCAGATACACACACAGTATACACGCACAGTATACACACACAGTATACACACACGCAGATACACACAGTATACACACACGCAGATACACGCACAGTATACACACACGCAGATACACGCACAGTATACACACACGCAGACACACACACAGTATACACACACGCAGATACACACAGTATACACACACGCAGATACACACACAGTATACACACACGCAGATACACACACAGTATACACACACGCAGATACACACACGCAGATACACACAGTATACACACACGCATATACACACACGCAGATACACACACGCAGATACACACACGCAGATACACACACAGTATACACACACGCAGATACACACAGTATACACACACGCAGATACACACACACGCAGATACACAGTATACACGCACGCACGCACGCGCCGGTATACACACACGCAGATACACACAGTATACACACACGCAGTATACACACACGCAGATACACACACGCAGATACACACACAGTATACACACACGCAGATACACACAGTATACACGCACGCACATGCCGGTATACACACAAGCAGATACACACAGTATACACACGCAGATATACACACGCAGATACACACACACAGTATACACACAGTATACACACACGCAGATACACACACGCAGATACACACAGTATACACGCGCAGATACACACGTGCAGATACACACACAGTATACACGTGCAGATACACACGTGCAGATACACACGTGCAGATACACACACAGTATACACGTGCAGATACACACGTGCAGATACACACACAGTATACACACGCGCAGATACACACACTCAGACATACACACACATAGATACATGCAGATACACACACGCAGATATACACAGATATACACGCACGCACCCGCCGAAATACACACGCAGATATATATACACGCACACAAATCCACACACAGATACACATGCCGATATATACACACACACACCGTTATACACACAAAGAAATACAGGCACGCACGCACACGCTGATACACACACGCTGATACACTCATGCCGATATACACACACGCAGATACACGCACATGCACGCACATGCCGATATACACACACACACATATATACACCGACATATACACAAAGACGCCCCCTGCTGTTAGCGAGCACCTATGAAGACCAGCACGGCACACAAGGGGGTGGTTGGCTAGCACCACGCCCGGCTGCCTTTGTCTCCCCAGTGGTGATGTTTACTACACACCGCACCAGGTACTCATTTGAGGCTGAGTCGAACTAGGGGAGGCCCAGGACCGGTTCGGATAATCGTCACTGGTGTTGGCCGTGAGCGGGAATCGAACTTGGGTCGCCGGGTTCGTAGCGCAGCGCGCAAACCGCTACCACTACCCACGCACACATCGATAGACACACACATTTCATTCTCTACAACGGCTAACATCAGCGGTGGCAATGCGAACGGTTCCTGGGCCTCCCCTAGGTCAACTCAACCTTAAATGAGTGACTGGTGCTGTGTACAAACATTAGCAGCACTGGGGAGACAAAAAGTCGTCTGTGGGGTGTATGTTGAACTTCTTTCGCACCGTACGTATGTGGGGAAAGGACAATAAACTGAACAGAAAAAGCAGTTCTAAAGAAATTAGTTTTCAATTTGGTGTAGTGTATAGTATAGTAGTGTAGTGAAAAGAAGTGTATAGTGTAGTGTATAGTGCATAGTAGTGTAGTGCATAGTAGTGTAGTGTATGGTGTAGTTTATGTATAACTTATGTCACACCGTACGTAGCCAACCATGCGCCAATTGGAGGTGCGGGGGAAGGACAAGAAACTAAACACAAAAAGCCGTTCCTACAGAACCATTCCCCTGCATCTGCTCGCGGGCAGAGGAAGTGGTTGGGGAGGGGGGGGGCAGTAGGGAGTGAGGATTACCCAGAATGCCCTTGTTCTCCTTGTCCATGATGCTGCGCAGCCACGAGTTGTTGGCCCGAACGAGCAGCGTGTAGAGAAGCCGCGCCACCTACAAGACAAAGACAAAGGTTCCCCCGAGTGGTGCTTCACAGACTGTTCGGGCAAGTGCTGTTCGTAGCGAGCAGCACCGACGGAGGCCGGCACTGTGGCGCACGAGGGGGTGGATTGGACAGCACCAGGCCCGGGCAGCCTTCGTCTCCCAAGTGGCGATTTTTACGCATCGCACCAGGTACGCAGTTGAGGTCGAGTCGACCTAGGGGAAGCCCAGGATCGGTTCAGATAATCGTCACTGGTGTTGGCCGTGAGTGGGAATCGTACTCGGGTCGTTGGGTTTGAAGCCCGGTGCGCGAACCGCTCCCTACGCAAGCACACAAAGACATCAAACCCCCCCCCTCGCCGCGTAACCTGCACATACTGTAGGTGCAAGTGCTGTTAGCGAGCAGCACCCATGGGGGCCGGCACGGCACACGGAAGAGGTGGGGGGTGACCAGCACCACGCAGCCCGGCCGCCTTTGTATCCCCAGCGGCGACGTTTATTCACACCTCGCACCAGGCATTTTATTTGAAGCCCAAGTCCACCTCGGGGAGGCCTAGGCCAGGTGAAAAGAATTGCCACCGATGTTGGCCGTCAGGAGTTAGAATCAAACGGAAGTTGCCAGGCTCACAACTCGGTGGGCTAACCACGACGCTCCCGTAGCGTGCGCACCTCCGATTCGCACGGTTGGCTACGTACGGTGCGAAATAAGTTCGACATACATACACACCCATGTGCTTGCGTGGGTTTGTTTGCATGCGAAAGATCTGGGCAAAGTCCCATCGGTGAGCTCCGGCAGGCAAGGCTGCGTTGGCTGGGTGATGTAGCCCGCATGCCCAGCCACCGCATGCCTAAACAGCTTTTGTTCGGCCGGATCGAGGGGGCTAAACGGGCACGGCACGGGCTAGAGAAGAGATGAAGTGATGTGGTACGGGAGGACGTGGAGCTGAGTGGACTTGCCGATGACTGGTACCAGCGGTGTCAAGATCGGCCTCAGTGGAGGAGGCTCGTGAAGGACGCTACTGGGCAGTTGGAGGCAGTCGCCCTCCAACAACAACGGAGGGCGGAGGAGCGACGCTCACAACGAGCGGAGCGCCGGGTTGCTAAAGCACAGCAAGTTGGCACAGTAGGGGGTACAGGTGGGGCATCAGCCAGTCATCTCAGTCATCTCAGTCAGTCGACCCGTGGCACCTGGGTCTGACCCGTGACCTCCTGCCAGCGGGCGTTCGACACTTCACGTGGCCTCAAGGTGCACATGGCCTAGCACAAGCGTCGTGGTGACGTCACCGCCACTTAGTGGCGAATGGCGGTTGTTGTTGTTGGTGTGCTTGGGTATCCCGGCATGCTCAGCTAACAGGATGCAGAAACAGCTTCTGTTTGGCTGGACAAAGAGGGATAAACGGGCGCGGCATGGGTTGGAGGGCATCTGAGTGGACTTGCCGATGACCGGTACCAGCAGAGGAGGTTCGTGAAGGACACTGCTGGGCATTTGGAGGCAGTTGCCCTCCAGCAACAACGGAGGGCAGAGGAGCGACGCTCACAACAATGAGCGGAGCGCCGGTCGGCTAAAATGGAGCAAGTTAACACAGCGGGGGTACAGCCGGTGCCTCTACCGGTCGTCTCAGTCAGCCAACCCATGGCACCTGCTGGGTCTGTCCCAAGACCTCCTGTCAAGATCGGCCTCTGTTTAGAAGGTTCGTGAAGGACGCTACTGTACGTACGTGTGATGAACTTCTTTCGAACCGAACCATTACAAGGTGGCACTCACCACACACAAAGTGCTTTCCACAAATGAACCACAACACCTTGGCAACCTCGTTGAGGAGCACGAACTATCACGTGAACTCCCGTCATCCTCGCAGCAGCAGCAGCGGCCACTGCATCGCGCGCTTTCAGATGCGCATCTGCGGCCGTCTGGAACGCTCTTTCTTCCAATATCAGAAGTTCAACTTACATACCACGCAGCCGTCTTTGTCTCCCCAGTGCCGCTAATGTTTAAACACAGCACCAGGCACTCATTCACATTACCACCGCTGAGAATGAAATGTACGTGTGTGTGTCTATAGATGTGTGTGTGTGTCTATAGATGTGTGTGTGTGTGTGTGTCTATAGGTGTGTGTGTGTGTGTCTATAGATGTGTGTGTGTGTGTGTCTATAGATGTGTGCGTGTGTGTCTATAGATGTGTGCGTGTGTGTCTATAGATGTGTGTGTGTGTGTGTCTATAGATGTGTGTGTGTGTGTGTGTCTATAGATGTGTGTGTGTGTGTCTATAGATGTGTGTGTGTGTGTGTCTATAGATGTGTGTGTGTGTCTATAGATGTGTGTGTGTGTGTGTCTATAGATGTGTGCGTGTGTGTGTCTATAGATGTGTGCGTGTGTGTCTATAGATGTGTGTGTGTGTGTGTCTATAGATGTGTGTGTGTGTGTCTATAGATGTGTGTGTGTGTGTGTCTATAGATGTGTGCGTGTGTGTCTATAGATGTGTGTGTGTGTGTGTCTATAGATGTGTGCGTGTGTGTCTATAGATGTGTGTGTGTGTGTGTCTATAGATGTGTGTGTGTGTGTGTCTATAGATGTGTGTGTGTCTATAGATGTGTGTTGTGTGGTGTGTCTATAGATTGTGTGTGTGTGTCTATAGATGTGTGTGTGTGTGTGTCTATAGATGTGTGTGTGTGTGTGTCTATAGATGTGTGTGTGTGTGTGTCTATAGATGTGTGTGTGTGTGTCTATAGATGTGTGTGTGTGTGTGTCTATAGATGTGTGTGTGTGTGTGTGTCTATAGATGTGTGTGTGTGTGTGTCTATAGATGTGTGTGTGTGTCTATAGATGTTTGTGTGTGTGTCTATAGATGTGTGTGTGTGTGGGGAGCGGTACTGTAGCAATTATCGCGCTGCACTACAAACCCGGCGATAGGAGTTTGATTTCTGCTCATGGCCACCAACAGTGAATATTACGTAAATGTGTGTATGTTGACTGTGTGTGTGTATGTTGATTGTGTGTGTGTGTATGCCGACTTTGTGTGTGTATTTTGACTGTGTGTGTGTATGCCGACTTTGTGTGTGTATTTTGACTGTGTGTGTATGTTGACTGTGTGTGTGTTGACTGTGTGTATGTTGACTGTGTGTGTGTGTTGACTGTGTGTGTATGTTGACTGCGTGTGTGTATATTGGCTGTGCGTATGTACGTGGGACTGTGTGTGTGTTGAATGTGTGTGTGTTGACTGTGTGTGTATGTTGACTGTGTGTGTGTATGTTGACTGTGTGTATGTATGTGTTGACTGTGTGTGTGTATGATGATTGTGTGTGTGTATGTTGACTGTGTGTGTGTGTGTAAGCGTGCGTATGCACACACAGTGGTGGTGTTGGCCTGGATGTCCATCATTGTCTCGTTGTCTCCGCCTGCTTGCAGGTACAGCGCCCTCGCCACGCCTGTGGCCAGCTCCGTGAGGTTCTAGAGCACACAAAGACAAAGTTCACCCGTGTAGCCTTCAGCAGACTGTTGGGGCAAGTGCTGTTAGCGAGTGGCAACGAAGAAGGCCGGCACGGCCACCCCCGTCACGCGTCTGAATCTCCACCAACCGCGTAGATCTCTCCCCCATCCCCGTCTCTCTCCCACGTCCTTGTGTCTCTCCTCTGTCCCTGTGTCTCCCTTTGTCCCGTGTCTCTGTCTCTCCCTTGTCCCACCCCCGTCCCCGTGTCCCACCTCCACGTCCCCGTGTCCCACCCCTGTCCACCCGTCCCCGTGTCCCTCCGTTGTCCACGCGTGTCTCACCTTGGCGATGTCGCTGGGGTAGGTGAGCTCCTCCTCTGGCGTGAGCCCCTCCGGGAAGCTCAGCTTGATGTTGGGCGCCACATCGTACACGCTGTGGTAGTACCTGCACGCACACGTGACACACCACGCACACGTGACACACGTGACACACGCACCACACGTGACACAAATACAACACACGCGTGATGCGCGGCACGCACGCATGCCTCGCGCGCGACACGCGCGCAAACGACACACACACACGCACAAACGACACACACACGTGAAAATGACACACACACACGTGCAAATGACACACACGCGCAAACGAGACACACACGCGCAAGAACACACGGGTGATACACACGCACATGCCGCACAGATGACACACGTGTAACAATACACACACACACTGCTTTTAGCAGTGTGTGTAGTGTAGGAGATGTGGCATAGTAGTAGCAGCAGTTCAGTAGTAGCAGTAGTGTAGTAGTAGTATGGTGGTGACGGTGCGGTGCTACTAGCAGTGTGGTAGTGGTGTGGTGGTGGTGACGGTGCTACTGGTAGTGTGGTAGTGGCGGTGTTGGTGCTACTAGTAGTGTAGTGGTGGGTGGTGCCGGTGTGGTGCGTACTGGTTGTGGTGTGGTGTGGTGGTAGTGGTGGTGTGGTGGTGGTGACGGTGCTACTAGTAGTGGTGGTGGTGACGGTGCGGTGCTACTAGTAGTGGTGTGGTACTGGTGGTGTAGTGGTGGTGGTATTGTTGTGGTGCGTACTGGTTGTGGAAGGCGGTGCGGTGCTACTGGTAGTGTAGTGGTGGTGGTGGTGGTAGTGTAGTGTTGTGGTGCGTACTGGTTGTGGAAGGCGGTGCGGTGCTACTGGTAGTGTAGTGTAGTGGTGGTGGTAGTGTCGGTGTGGTGCGTACTGGTTGTGGAAGGCGGTGCGGTGCTCCTAGTAGTGGTGGTGGTGTGGTGTGGTGGTGACGGTGTGGTGGTGGTGGTGTTGTGGTGCGTACTGGTTGTGGAAGGCGGTGCGGTGCTACTGGTAGTGGTGTAGTAGTAGTGTGGTGGTGGTATTGTAGTGGTGCGTACTGGTTGTGGAAGGCGGTGTGTTGCTACTGGTAGTGCAGTGGTGGTGCCGGTGTGGTGTGTACTGGTTGTGGAAGGCGGTGTGGTGCTACTAGTAGTGGTGTGGTGTGGTGGTGTGGTGTGGTGGTGACGGTGTGGTGGTGGTGGTATTGTTGTGGTGCGTACTGGTTGTGGAAGGCGGTGCGGTGCTACTGGTAGTGTAGTGGTGGTGGTGGTGTGGTGGTGGTGTGGTGCTACTGGTAGTGGTGGTGGTAGTGTAGTGGTGGCATTGTTGTGGTGGTGCGTACTGGTTGTGGAAGGCGGTGCGGTGCTACTAGTAGTGGTGGTGGTATTGTTGTGGTGCGTACTGGTTGTGGAAGGCGGTGCGGTGCTACTGGTAGTCTAGTGTGGTGCGTACTGGTTGTGAAAGGCGGTGCGGTGCTACTGGTAGTGTAGTGGTGGTAGTGTAGTGGTGGTGGTAGTGTGGTGGTGGTAGTGGTGCGTACTGGTTGTGGAAGGCAGTGCGGTGCTACTGGTAGTGTAGTGTTGTGCGTACTGGTTGTGGAAGGCGGTGCGGTGCTACTAGTAGTGTAGTGGTGTGCGTACTGGTTGTGGAAGGCGGTGCGGTGCTACTAGTGGTGGTGGTGGTGACGGTGCGGTGCTACTAGTAGTGGTGTGGTAGTGGTGGTGTAGTGGTGGTGGTATTGTTGTGGTGCGTACTGGTTGTGGAAGATGGTGCGGTGCTACTGGTAGTGTAGTGGTGGTGCGTACTGGTTGTGGAAGGCGGTGCGGTGCTACTGGTAGTGTAGTGGTGGTGCGTACTGGTTGTGGAAGACGGTGCGGTGCTACTGGTAGTGTAGTGGTGGTGCGTACTGGTTGTGGAAGGCGGTGCGGTGCTACTGGTAGTGTAGTGGTGGTGCGTACTGGTTGTGGAAGGCGGTGCGGTGCTACTGGTAGTGTAGTGGTGGTGCGTACTGGTTGTGGAAGGCGGTGCGGTGCTACTGGTAGTGTAGTGGTGGTGCGTACTGGTTGTGGAAGGCGGTGCGGTGCTACTGGTAGTGTAGTGGTGGTGCGTACTGGTTGTGGAAGGCGGTGCGGTGCTCTGCCAGCACCACCCCGCTCAGGTTCCTGTGCCGCAGGAAGCGCTGCAGCGACGAGGGCGGCAGCGGCTGCTCGGGGTCAGGGGTCGCCACGGTGAGGCCGCCCGCTCGCAGGGCCTCCACCATGGACCACACCTACAGCCACAACAACGCCAACATCATCGACGTCATCAACGTCGTCAATGAAAACATCAACTTTGATAACGTCATCATCAACGATAACAATAACACCGATAACAGCAACGTCATCATCATCAACGATAACATCAACATCGACGATAACATCAACATCATCGACGATAACATCAACAACATTGACGTCATCAACAACGTCAACATCGATAACATCAACAACGACAACATCAACAACATCAACATCAACAACATCGGCCTCTGTGGAGGTGGCTCGTGAAGGACGCGACACTGGGACAGTCGCCCCTCCAACAACAACGGAGGGCGAAGGAGCGACGCTCACAACAACGAGCAGAGTGCCGGGCGGCTAAAATGCAGCAAGTTGACACAGTGGGGGGCACAGGTGGTGCATCAGCCAGTCATCTCAGTCAGTCAACCCATAGCACCTGGGTCTGTCCCATAACCTCCTGCACCTAGCCTGGCACAGTGGGTGGCACAGGTGGTGCATCATCCAGTCATCTCAGTCAGTCAACCCATGGCACCTGGGTCTGTACTGTAACCGCCTGCACCTAGCATGGCACAGGTGTTGCATCTGCCAGCCATCTCAGTCAGTCCACCCATGGCACCTGGGGTGTGAGTGAGTGAAGGAGTGGCAAGAGTGAGTGTGAGTGAGTGTGAGTGAGTGATGCGAGTCAGTGGTGCGAGTGAGTGGTGAGAGTGAGTGGTGAGAGTGAGTGGTGAGAGTGAGTGGTGAGAGTGAGTGGTGAGAGTGAGTGGTGAGAGTGAGTGGTGAGAGTGAGTGGTGAGAGTGAGTGAGTGGTGAGTGATTGGTGCGAGTGAGTGGTGAGTAAGTGGTGAGTGAGTCGTGAGTGAGTGGTGACAGCGAGTGATTGGTGTGAGTGATGAAGTGAGTGAGTGGTGCATGAGCGAGTGGTGAGTGAGTGTAAAGAGAAAATTAGTGGTGAGAGTGAGTGGTGAGTGAGTGGTTGAGTGAGTGGTGAGTGAGTGGTGAGTGAGTGTTGAGTGAGTGGTTGAGTGAGTGTTGAGTGAGTGTTGAGTGAGTGGTTGAGTGAGCGAGTGGTGAGTGAGTGGTGAGTGAGTGTTGAGTGAGTGGTTGAGTGAGCGAGTGGTGAGTGAGTGGTGAGTGATTGGCGAGTGGTGCGAGAGTGAGCGAATGAGCAAATGGGCACGTGGTGAGTGAGCGAGTGGTGAGTGAATGATGAGAGTGAATGGTGAGTGTGGATGAGTGGTGATTGAGTGGTGAGTGAATGGTGAGTGATGAGTGAGTGAGTGTTGAGTGAGTGGTGAGAGTAGTGAGTGGTGAGTGAGTGGTGAGTGAGTGGTGAGTGAGTGTTGAGTGAGTGGTGAGTGAGTGGTGAGTGAGTGGTGAGTGAGTGAGTGGTGAGTGGTGAGTGGTGAGTGAGTGGTGAGTGAGTGGTGAGTGAGTGGTGAGTGAGTGGTGAGTGAGTTGTGTGAGTGAGTGGTGAGTGAGTGGTGAGTGAGTGGTGAGTGAGTGAGTGGTGAGTGAGTGGTGAGTGAGTGTGAGTGGTGAGTGAGTGAGTGGTGAGTGAGTGGTGAGTGAGTTGTGTGAGTGAGTGGTGAGTGAGTGAGTGTATGAGTGAGTGAGTGTATAGTAGTGAGTGGTGAGTGAGTGGTGAGTGAGTGAGTGAGTGGTGAGTGAGTGAGTGTTGAGTGAGTGGTGAGTGAGTGAGTGGTGGAGTGAGTGAGTGAGTGGCGAGTGAGTGAGTGAGTGTTGAGTGAGTGGTGAAGAGTAGTGAGTGAGTGAGTGTTGAGTGAGTGGTGAGTGGGTGAGTGGTGAGTAAGTGGTGAGTGAGTGGTGAGTGAGTGGTGATGAGTGGTGAGTGAGTGGTGAGTGAGTGGTGAGTGGTGATGTGAGTGGTGAGTGAGTGGTGAGTGAGTGTGAGTGAGTGGTGAGTGTGGTGAGTGGTGGATAGTAGTGGTGAGTGAGTGGTGAGTGAGTGGGATGATTGTGGTGAGTAGTGGTGAGTGAGTTGTGTGAGTGGTGAGTGAGTGAGTGGTGAGTGAGTGGGAGTGAGTGGTGAGTGATGAGTGAGTGAGTGAGTGGTGAGTGGTGAGTAAGTGGTGAGTGAGTGGTGAGTGAGTGAGTGTGAGTGAGTGGTGTGAGTGTGAGTGAGTTGTGGAGTGGTGAGTGAGTGGTGGTGAGTGAGTGGTGAGTGAGTGGTGAGTGAGTTGTGTGAGTGAGTGGTGAGTGAGGGAGTGGTGAGTGAGTGTGGTGAGTGAGTGAGTGGTGAGTGAGTGGTGAGTGAGTTGTGTGAGTGAGTGGTGAGTGAGTGTGTGAGTGAGTGGTGAGTGAGTGAGTGAGTGTATGAGTGAGTGAGTGGTGATGTGAGTGGTGATGTGAGTGAGTGAGTGGTGAGTGAGTGAGTGTTGAGTGAGTGGTGAGTGAGTGAGTGGTGAGTGAGTGAGTGAGTGGCGAGTGAGTGAGTGAGTGTTGAGTGAGTGGTGAGAGTAGTGAGTGAGTGAGTGTTGAGTGAGTGGTGAGAGTAGTGAGTGAGTGAGTGGTGAGTGAGTGGTGAGTGAGTGGTGAGTGAGTGAGTTGGTGAGTGAGTGGTGAGTGAGTGGTGAGTGAGTGGTGAGTGAGTGGTGAGTGAGTGGTGAGTGAGTTGTGTGAGTGAGTGGTGAGTGAGTGAGTGTATGAGTGAGTGAGTGTATGAGTGAGTGAGTGGTGAGTGAGTGGTGAGTGAGTGAGTGAGTGGTGAGTGAGTGAGTGTTGAGTGAGTGGTGAGTGAGTGAGTGGTGAGTGAGTGAGTGAGTGGCGAGTGAGTGGTGAGTGAGTGGTGAGTGAGTGGTGAGTGAGTGGTGAGTGAGTGGTGAGTGAGTGGTGAGTGAGTTGTGTGAGTGAGTGGTGAGTGAGTGGTGAGTGAGTGGTGAGTGAGTGAATGGTGAGTGAGTGGTGAGTGAGTGAGTGGTGAGTGAGTGGGTGAGTGAGTTGTGTGAGTGAGTGGTGAGTGAGTGAGTGTATGAGTGAGTGAGTGTATGAGTGAGTGATGGTGAGTGAGTGGTGAGTGAGTGAGTGGGTGAGTGAGTGAGTGTTGAGTGAGTGAGTGGTGAGTGAGTGAGTGGCGAGTGAGTGAGTGAGTGTTGAGTGAGTGGTGAGAGTAGTGAGTGAGTGAGTGTTGAGTGAGTGGTGAGTGAGTGGTGAGTGAGTGGTGAGTGAGTGGTGGTGAGTGAGTGGTGAGTGAGTGAGTGGTGAGTGAGTGGTGAGTGATGAGTGAGTGAGTGAGTGGTGAGTGAGTGGTGAGTGAGTGGTGAGTGAGTGGTGAGTGAGTGGTGAGGTGAGTTGTGTGAGTGAGTGGTGAGTGAGGTGAGGTGGTGAGTGAGTGGTGAGTGAGTGAGTGGTGAGTGGTGAGTGAGTTGTGTGAGTGAGTGGTGAGTGAGTTGTGAGTGAGTGGTGAGTGGTGAGTAAGTGGTGAGTGAGTGGTGAGTGAGTGGTGAGTGAGTGGTGAGTGAGTGGTGAGTGAGTGGTGGAGTGGTGAGTGAGTGGTGAGTGAGTGGTGAGTGAGTGGTGAGTGAGTGGTGAGTGAGTGGTGAGTGGTGAGTAGTGGTGAGTGAGTGGTGAGTGAGTGGTGAGTGAGTGGTGAGTGAGTGGTGAGTGAGTTGTGTGAGTGGTGAGTGAGTGAGTGGTGAGTGAGTGGTGAGTGAGTGGTGAGTGATGAGTGAGTGAGTGAGTGGTGAGTGAGTGGTGAGTGAGTGGTGAGTGAGTGGTGAGTGAGTTGTGTGAGTGAGTGGTGAGTGAGTGAGTGGTGAGTGAGTGGTGAGTGAGTGAGTGGTGAGTGAGTGGTGAGTGAGTTGTGTGAGTGAGTGGTGAGTGAGTGAATGGTGAGTGAGTGGTGAGTGAGTGAGTGGTGAGTGAGTGGTGAGTGAGTTGTGTGAGTGAGTGGTGAGTGAGTGAGTGTATGAGTGAGTGAGTGTATGAGTGAGTGAGTGGTGAGTGAGTGGTGAGTGAGTGAGTGGTGAGTGAGTGAGTGTTGAGTGAGTGAGTGGTGAGTGAGTGAGTGGCGAGTGAGTGAGTGAGTGTTGAGTGAGTGGTGAGAGTAGTGAGTGAGTGAGTGTTGAGTGAGTGGTGAGTGAGTGGTGAGTGAGTGGTGAGTGAGTTGTGTGAGTGAGTGGTGAGTGAGTGAGTGGTGAGTGAGTGGTGAGTGATGAGTGAGTGAGTGAGTGGTGAGTGAGTGGTGAGTGAGTGGTGAGTGAGTGGTGAGTGAGTGGTGAGTGAGTTGTGTGAGTGAGTGGTGAGTGAGTGAGTGGTGAGTGAGTGGTGAGTGAGTGAGTGGTGAGTGGTGAGTGAGTTGTGTGAGTGAGTGGTGAGTGAGTTGTGAGTGAGTGGTGAGTGGTGAGTAAGTGGTGAGTGAGTGGTGAGTGAGTGGTGAGTGAGTGGTGAGTGAGTGGTGAGTGAGTGGTGAGTGGTGAGTGGGTGGTGAGTGAGTGGTGAGTGAGTGGTGAGTGAGTGGTGAGTGAGTGGTGAGTGGTGAGTAAGTGGTGAGTGAGTGGTGAGTGAGTGGTGAGTGAGTGGTGAGTGAGTGGTGAGTGAGTTGTGTGAGTGGTGAGTGAGTGAGTGGTGAGTGAGTGGTGAGTGAGTGGTGAGTGATGAGTGAGTGAGTGAGTGGTGAGTGAGTGGTGAGTGAGTGGTGAGTGAGTGGTGAGTGAGTTGTGTGAGTGAGTGGTGAGTGAGTGAGTGGTGAGTGAGTGGTGAGTGAGTGAGTGGTGAGTGAGTGGTGAGTGAGTTGTGTGAGTGAGTGGTGAGTGAGTTGTGTGAGTGAGTGGTGAGTGAGTGAGTGAGTGTATGAGTGAGTGAGTGGTGAGTGAGTGGTGAGTGAGTGAGTGAGTGGTGAGTGAGTGAGTGTTGAGTGAGTGGTGAGTGAGTGAGTGGTGAGTGAGTGAGTGAGTGGCGAGTGAGTGAGTGAGTGTTGAGTGAGTGGTGAGAGTAGTGAGTGAGTGAGTGTTGAGTGAGTGGTGAGTGAGTGGTGAGTGGAGTGGTGAGTGAGTGGTGAGTGAGTGGTGAGTGAGTTGTGTGAGTGAGTGGTGAGTGAGTGAGTGTATGAGTGAGTGAGTGTATGAGTGAGTGAGTGGTGAGTGAGTGGTGAGTGAGTGAGTGGTGAGTGAGTGAGTGTTGAGTGAGTGGTGAGTGAGTGAGTGGTGAGTGAGTGAGTGAGTGGCGAGTGAGTGTGAGTGAGGGTGAGTGAGTGTGAGTGAGTGGTGAGTGAGTGGTGCGTGAGTGGTGAGTGAGTTGTGTGAGTGAGTGGTGAGTGAGTGGTGAGTGAGTGGTGAGTGAGTGAATGGTGAGTGAGTGGTGAGTGAGTGAGTGGTGAGTGAGTGGTGAGTGAGTTGTGTGAGTGAGTGGTGAGTGAGTGAGTGTATGAGTGGTGAGTGGTATGAGTGAGTGAGTGGTGAGTGAGTGGTGAGTGAGGGAGTGAGTGGTGAGTGAGTGAGTGTTGAGTGGTGAGTGGTGAGGTGAGTGAGTGGCGAGTGAGTGAGTGAGTGTTGAGTGAGTGGTGAGAGTAGTGAGTGAGAGAGTGTTGAGTGAGTGGTGAGTGAGTGGTGAGTGAGTGGTGAGTGAGTTGTGTGAGTGAGTGGTGAGTGAGTGAGTGGTGAGCTGAGTGGTGAGTGATGAGTGAGTGAGTGAGTGAGGGTGATGAGTGGTGAGTGAGTGGTGAGTGAGTGGTGAGTGAGTGGTGAGTGAGTTGTGTGAGTGAGTGGTGAGTGAGTGAGTGGTGAGTGAGTGGTGAGTGAGTGAGTGGTGAGTGGTGAGTGAGTTGTGTGAGTGAGTGGTGAGTGAGTTGTGTGAGTGAGTGGTGAGTGAGTGAGTGAGTGTATGAGTGAGTGAGTGGTGAGTGAGTGGTGAGTGATGTGAGTGAGTGGTGAGTGAGTGAGTGTTGAGTGAGTGGTGAGTGAGTGATTGGTGAGTGAGTGAGTGAGTGGCGAGTGAGTGAGTGAGTGTTGAGTGAGTGGTGAGAGTAGTGAGTGAGTGAGTGTTGAGTGAGTGGTGAGAGTAGTGAGTGAGTGAGTGTTGAGTGAGTGGTGAGAGTAGTGAGTGAGTGAGTGTTGAGTGAGTGGTGAGTGAGTGGTGAGTGAGTGGTGAGTGAGTGGTGAGTGAGTGAGTGGTGAGTGAGTGGTGAGTGAGTGGTGAGAGTGGTGAGTGAGTGAGTGTTGAGTGAGTGTTGAGTGAGTGGTGAGTGAGTGGTGAGTGAGTGGTGAGTGAGTGGTGAGTGAGTGGTGAGTGAGTTGTGTGAGTGAGTGGTGAGTGAGTGAGTGGTGAGTGAGTGGTGAGTGAGTGGTGAGTGATGAGTGAGTGAGTGAGTGGTGAGTGAGTTGTGTGAGTGAGTGGTGAGTGAGTGAGTGGTGAGTGAGTGGTGAGTGAGTGGTGAGTGTGTGTGTGAGTGAGTGGTGAGTGAGTGAGTGGTGAGTGAGTGGGTGAGTGAGTGGTGAGTGAGTTGTGTGAGTGAGTGGTGAGTGAGTGAGTGGTGAGTGAGTGGTGAGTGAGTGGTGAGTGATGAGTGAGTGAGTGAGTGGTGAGTGAGTTGTGTGAGTGAGTGGTGAGTGAGTGAGTGGTGAGTGAGTGGTGAGTGAGTGGTGAGTGAGTTGTGTGAGTGAGTGGTGAGTGAGTGAGTGGTGAGTGAGTGGGTGAGTGAGTGGTGAGTGAGTTGTGTGAGTGAGTGGTGAGTGAGTGAGTGGTGAGTGAGTGGTGAGTGAGTGGTGAGTGAGTTGTGTGAGTGAGTGGTGAGCGAGTGGTGAGTGAGTGGTGAGTGAGTTGTGTGAGTGAGTGGTGAGTGAGTGAGTGAGTGGTGAGTGAGTTGCTCGTACGGATTCGTTGACTTGGGGGACCTGCCGAGAGATTGGGTCGCTGTGCGCCCACACCGTGGCTCCGTCACGCAGCCCCACCTAGACAACCACAACCACCACCACAACCACGTCAACAACAACCACCACAACCATCATAACCAAAACAACCACGTCAACAACAACCACTACAACAACCACAACAACCACAACAACAACCACGTCAACAACAACCACGTCAACAACAACCACGTCAACAACAACCACGTCAACAACCACCACGTCAACAACCACCACGTCAACAACCACCACAACAACCACGTCAGCCACAACCACCACGTCAACCACAACAACCACGTCAGCCACAACCACCACGTCAACCACAACCACCACTTCAACCACAACCACCACTTCAACCACAATCACGTCAACCACCACAACCACGTCAACCGCAATAACAACCACGTCAACAACCACATCAACAACAACCACGTCAGCCACAACCACCACTCCAACCACAACCACGTCAACCACCACAACCACGTCAACCACCACGTCAACCACAACCACCACGTCAACCGCAATAACAACCACGTCAACAACTACCACCACTACTACCACTCGCTACCCATTGAAACGATGGCGGCCTGCCTGAAATGTATCGCTGCGATGTCGTTAAACGTTGCGTTTAGAGAATTCGCTACGAATCGCCCCACGTTGATATGCCACACAGCCTGCCGGAGGCTGCACGTGGGACCTTCGCCTGCTGCGAGTGGGACCTTCGCCTGCTGCGTGTGGGAGTCTGATGCACGTGGGACCTTCGCATGATGCGTGTGGGAGTCTGCTGCACCTGGCTGATTTCGAGGAAGGAGTGGATGCTGTCCAGGGACAGGAACGACTTGTTGCGCATGATGTCGTACACGAACCGCGAGCTGCCAATGTAGTCAAACGCCTCCTGTACACGGTAGGGGGGCGGAGGGGGGGCGGAGGGGGCACGTGGTCAAAACAACAGCCACTCCACACGTCGACACACACGCGCACACACACCGAAACACACACACGCGCACACACACCGAAACACACACACGCGCACACACCGTGTGTATATCGTGCGGTTGCGGTGACGAAGGCGGTGGTGCGACTGTGCGCGTTGTTGCGATGACAGTGGTGACAGCGGTGGTGGTGATGGTGGTGATGTGACTGTGTACGTGTGGTTGAGGTGGTGGTGGTGATGGTGGTGATGTGACTGTGTGCGTGTGGTGGTGATGTGACTGTGTGCGTGTGGTTGAGGTGGTGGTGACGGTGGCGATGTGACTGTGTGCGTGTGGTGGTGGTGATGGTGACGGTGGCGATGTGACTGTGTGCGTGTGGTGGTGGTGATGGTGACGGTGGCGATGTGACTGTGTACGTGTGGTGGTGGTGATGGTGACGGTGGCGATGTGACTGTGTGCGTGTGGTGGTGGTGATGGTGACGGTGGCGATGTGACTGTGTGCGTGTGGTGGTGGTGATGGTGACGGTGGCGATGTGACTGTGTGCGTGTGGTGGTGGTGATGGTGACGGTGGCGATGTGACTGTGTACGTGTGGTGGTGGTGATGGTGACGGTGGCGATGTGACTGTGTGCGTGTGGTGGTGGTGATGGTGACGGTGGCGATGTGACTGTGTGCGTGTGGTGGTGGTGGTGGTGATGGTGGTGATGTGACTGTGTGCGTGTGGTGGTGGTGATGGTGACGGTGGCGATGTGACTGTGTGCGTGTGGTTGTGGTGATGGTGACGGTGGCGATGTGACTGTGTGCGTGTGGTGGTGGTGATGGTGACGGTGGCGATGTGACTGTGTGCGTGTGGTTGTGGTGACGGTGGCGATGTGACTGTGTGCGTGTGGTGGTGGTGATGGTGACGGTGGCGATGTGACTGTGTGCGTGTGGTGGTGGTGATGGTGAAGGTGGCGATGTGACTGTGTGCGTGTGGTGGTGGTGATGGTGACGGTGGCGATGTGACTGTGTGCGTGTGGTGGTGGTGATGGTGACGGTGGCGATGTGACTGTGTGCGTGTGGTGGTGGTGATGGTGACGGTGGCGATGTGACTGTGTACGTGTGGTGGTGGTGATGGTGACGGTGGCGATGTGACTGTGTGCGTGTGGTGGTGGTGATGGTGACGGTGGCGATGTGACTGTGTGCGTGTGGTGGTGGTGGTGGTGGTGATGGTGGTGATGTGACTGTGTGCGTGTGGTGGTGGTGATGGTGACGGTGGCGATGTGACTGTGTGCGTGTGGTTGTGGTGATGGTGACGGTGGCGATGTGACTGTGTGCGTGTGGTGGTGGTGATGGTGACGGTGGCGATGTGACTGTGTGCGTGTGGTTGTGGTGACGGTGGCGATGTGACTGTGTGCGTGTGGTGGTGGTGATGGTGACGGTGGCGATGTGACTGTGTGCGTGTGGTGGTGGTGATGGTGAAGGTGGCGATGTGACTGTGTGCGTGTGGTGGTGGTGATGGTGACGGTGGCGATGTGACTGTGTGCGTGTGGTGGTGGTGGTGGTGATGGTGGTGATGTGACTGTGTGCGTGTGGTTGTGGTGGTGGTGAAGGTGGCGATGTGACTGTGTGCGTGTGGTGGTGGTGATGGTGACGGTGGCGATGTGACTGTGTGCGTGTGGTGGTGGTGGTGGTGATGGTGGTGATGTGACTGTGTGCGTGTGGTTGTGGTGGTGGTGATGGTGGTGATGTGACTGTGTGCGTGTGGTGGTGGTGATGGTGAAGGTGGCGATGTGACTGTGTACGTGTGGTGGTGGTGATGGTGACGGTGGCGATGTGACTGTGTGCGTGTGGTGGTGGTGATGGTGACGGTGGCGATGTGACTGTGTGCGTGTGGTGGTGGTGGTGGTGATGGTGGTGATGTGACTGTGTGCGTGTGGTGGTGGTGATGGTGACGGTGGCGATGTGACTGTGTACGTGTGGTTGAGGTGGTGGTGGTGATGGTGGCGATGTGACTGTGTGCGTGTGGTGGTGGTGATGGTGACGGTGGCGATGTGACTGTGTGCGTGTGGTGGTGGTGATGGTGACGGTGGCGATGTGACTGTGTGCGTGTGGTTGTGGTGACGGTGGCGATGTGACTGTGTGCGTGTGGTGGTGGTGACGGTGGCGATGTGACTGTGTGCGTGTGGTGGTGGTGATGGTGACGGTGGCGATGTGACTGTGTGCGTGTGGTTGTGGCGGTGGTGGTGACGGTGGCGATGTGACTGTTGCGTGTGGTTGTGGCGGTGGTGGCGATGTGACTGAGTGCGTGTGGTGGTTGTGGCGGTGGTTGTGGCGGTGGTTGTGGCGGTGGTTGTGGCGGTGGTTGTGGCGGTGGTTGCGGTGGTGACGGTGGCGGCGCCGCACCCCCTGCAGGAACAGGAAGAGGACGTTGCGTGGCAGCGAGCGCGACGCGTTGCCCAGCGCGGCGAGGGCCTCCGCGGCCGCCAGCAGCGTGACGAAGCCGGAGGCGGCGCTGTCGGCGCCCGACGTCACGTTCCAGAAGAACGAGCGGCTGTCCAGCTGCACACCAGCACGAGGTCCACAGGCGGTGAGCGTGGAGTGCGGGTGCAGCAGTGAGTGCAGCAGTGAGTGCAGCAGTGAGTGCAGCACGTGGTGAAGCACGTGGTGAAGCACGTGGTGAAGCACGTGGTGAAGCACGTGGTGCAGCAGTGGTGCAGCATGGGGTGCAGCACCAGCGATGATTATCTGAACCGGTCCTTGGGCCTCCCCGAGCCTCAACTGAGTAGCTGGTGTAGCGGTGTGTGTAGTGGTGTGTAAACATAGCGGTGTGTGTAGTAGTGTGTAATCATAGCGGTGTGTGTAGTAGGGTGTAAACATAGCGGTGTGTGTAGTAGTGTGTAATCATAGCGGTGTGTGTAGTAGGGTGTAAACATAGCGGTGTGTGTAGTGGTGTGTAATCATAGCGGTGTGTGTAGTAGTGTGTAAACATAGCGGTGTGTGTAGTGGTGTGTAAACATAGCGGTGTGTGTAGTGGTGTGTAATCATAGCGGTGTGTGTAGTAGGGTGTAAACATAGCGGTGTGTGTAGTAGTGTGTAATCATAGCGGTGTGTGTAGTGGTGTGTAAACATAGCGGTGTGTGTAGTGGTGTGTAAACATAGCGGTGTGTGTAGTAGTGTGTAATCATAGCGGTGTGTGTAGTGGTGTGTAATCATAGCGGTGTGTGTAGTAGTGTGTAATCATAGCGGTGTGTGTAGTGGTGTGTAAACATAGCGGTGTGTGTAGTAGTGTGTAAACATAGCGGTGTGTGTAGTGGTGTGTAAACATAGCGGTGTGTGTAGTAGTGTGTAAACATAGCGGTGTGTGTAGTAGTGTGTAAACATAGCGGTGTGTGTAGTAGTGTGTAAACATGGCGGTGTGTGTAGTGGTGTGTAAACATAGCGGTGTGTGTAGTAGTGTGTAAACATAGCGGTGTGTGTAGTGGTGTGTAAACATAACGGTGTGTGTAGTGGTGTGTAAACATAGCGGTGTGTGTAGTAGTGTGTAAACATGGCGGTGTGTGTAGTAGTGTGTAAACATAGCGGTGTGTGTAGTGGTGTGTAAACATAGCGGTGTGTGTAGTGGTGTGTAAACATAGCGGTGTGTGTAGTAGTGTGTAAACATAGCGGTGTGTGTAGTAGTGTGTAAACATGGCGGTGTGTGTAGTGGTGTGTAAACATAGCGGTGTGTGTAGTGGTGTGTAAACATAGCGGTGTGTGTAGTAGTGTGTAAACATAGCGGTGTGTGTAGTAGTGTGCAAACATGGCGGTGTGTGTAGTAGTGTGTAAACATAGCGGTGTGTATATTAGTGTGTAATCATAGCGGTGTGTGTAGTAGTGTGTAAACATAGCGGTGTGTGTAGTGGTGTGTAAACATAGCGGTGTGTGTAGTGGTGTGTAATCATAGCGGTGTGTGTAGTAGTGTGTAAACATAGCGGTGTGTGTAGTAGTGTGTAATCATAGCGGTGTGTGTAGTAGTGTGTAATCATAGCGGTGTGTGTAGTGGTGTGTAAACATAGCGGTGTGTGTAGTAGGGTGTAAACGTAGCGGTGTGTATATGGGGGTGCCGCATCTCACCCGTGCAGCTGCTATGATGATATCCTTGTCCGGTTTGCCCTTCATCGATTGGTTGATCGGTTGCAGAACCCCCAGCACGTTATAGTCGCCCAGTGAATCACACACCAACTCTACACGCCACACAAAGCATCATCAGCATCTTCATCAGCAGCAGCAGAATCATCAGCATCATCATCATCATCACCACAAGCATCAGCAGCATCTTCATCATCATCAGCATCATCATCAGCAGCAGCATCATTATCATCATCACCACCACCACAAGCATCATCAGCATCTTCATCAGCAGCAGCAGCAGCATCATCATCATCACCACAAGCATCAGCAGCATCTTCATCATCATCAGCATCATCATCATCATCAGCAGCAGCAGCATCATCATCATCACCACCACAAGCATCAGCAGCATCATCATCAGCATCATCATCAGCAGCAGCAGCATCATCATCACCACCACAAGCATCAGCAGCATCTTCATCAGCAGCAGCAGAATCATCAGCAGCATCATCATCATCACCACAAGCATCAGCAGCATCTTCATCATCAGCAGCAGAATCATCATCAGCAGCATCATCATCATCATCAGCATCATCATCATCAGCAGCAGCAGAATCATAATCATCATCACCACCACAAGCATCATCAGCATCATCATAAGCAACATCAACGTATCGCATCTCGTGCTTTCAGGTGCGCTTCTGTGGCTGTCTGGAATGCACTTCCTTCCGATATTAGAAAGCCACTGGCGCTACGCAGATTGGAATCATCTCGATTGAAAACTCACTTCCTAAGAACTGCTTTTCGTATTTAGTTTGTTGTCCTTTCCCCGTACCTTTCATTAGTATGGTTTGCCACGTACGGTGCAAGATAAGTTCAACATACACTACACTATACACTACATTGCTATCCATTACATTACACCACGAAACGAAATTGAAAACCAACTTCCTTAGAATTGCTTTTTGTGTTTAGTCTGTTGTCCTTCCCCGTGGTTTGGCTACGTATGGCGTGAAAGAAGTTCAACACACACACACACATGTGCATCATCCACGTTTCATCAACTGCCCAATCACTTCATTCCCACGCCATCAGCGTCTTCTCAACGGCCCTGCGATGCCACGCTCAATCTCGCTCAAGCCACAGAAGCCGATGGCCCATCGCTCAATCTCCAAGGTAGACGTCCCAACTTGGAAGGGCTCTCTCTTTCCGTTGCCGTTGTGTCAATCACAGGTGCGGGGCCACCATCCCATGGGCGGCATCTGTGGTGGCTACGCTGCTGCACGTGGCAGCTGTGATCCGGCGCAGCAGCAGCAGCGAGGGTCAGTGGATCACACACGGATGGTGTGAAACTGTGGGTCTATACGAGTCTGTGGGTCTCTAAATGAGTCTATGGATCACTATGTGAGTCTGTGGGTCTCTAAATGAGTCTATAGGTCTCTATGCGTCTACATATGTACTAGAGTCTCGTGGTATCTACGTGACTATGTTAGTCTCTACATCACGAGTCTATGGGTCTCTAAACAAGTCTATGGGTCTCTATGATAGTCTATGGGTCTCTAAGCGAGTGCGTTGGTTTCTAAGTAAGCCCATGGGTCCCTCATTCCACTCGCTCTATCCACTCGCTCCACTCGCGTCGCCCACCAGGGTTGAGGTTGTTGAAGAGATTAGAGCGGCGCATGCAGGTCACGGTGTCGCGCACCCCGTGCATGTGAGACTTGAGCTGAATCGCGCACAGAGGGTAATCCACCACCTTCGACGTCGCGTTGATCGGAACATTGTGATCCCTCACGCACTGGGGCGGGGTAGGGGAGGGGGGGGGCATCGGGAAGAGAGGGGAGGTGAGGGGGGGGGCGGGGGGGGGGAGCAGTGAGACATGGGGACGAGACGGGAGACACGGGGAGGAGGAATAGGAGGAGTAGGTGGGGCAGGCACGGAGGGGAGACGCGCATGAGGATGAGTGCGGAACCACATGGGGGGGGAGGAGGACACGGGGAGAGAAGGGGATCCACAGGAGCCGTAGGCGACGCGTGAGATTAGTCCACCCACGCTTGGAGCAAGATGACTTCTCCTGGAGGGCCAGGGGGGTACGGGGGGGGGGCGGAGACTCAACGCCCACCGCCCACCGCCCACGGGCGAGAACGGAGGCGTCCACGATGTTTGCTTGATCCGCCAACCCTCGCCGCCCCCACAGCGCGAGGGGGATTACAGGCGACGTGCAGAGTGCACCGCCGCAACCGGTGGTGGTGGGGTGGTGGTGGTGGTGGTGGTGGGGGTGGGGTGGTGGTGGTGGTGTGGTGGTGGTGGGGTGGTGGTGGTGGGGTGGTGGCGGCGTGGTGGTGGGGTGGTGGTGGTGGCGGTGGTGGTGGGGTGGTGGTGGTGGTGGGGTGGTGGTGGTGGTCAGAATCCTCCGGGGTGGGGGGGCCGTGCGTTGCGGACACCTGCAGGACGGCGCTGGTCTCGTTGGCGTCGCGCAGCAAGAAAACCGGGAAGCTAAAGTCCTCGAGAGCCAAGCCGGAACCCGACGGGTTCCACACGGCGCGGCGGCAGTGGGCGTAATCCGTGTCCTCGTACACTCCTACAGAGACACAGGGAGACACAGACAATGTCCTTGTACACTCCTACAGAGACACAGGGAGACACACAGACACAGACAGTGTCCCTGTACACTCCTACAGAGACACAGACACACAGAGACACAGTGTCCCTGTACACTCCTACAGAGACACAGAGAGACACAGAGACACTCCTACAGAGACACAGGGAGACACAGTGACACAGTGTCCTCGTACACTCCTACAGAGACACAGACACAGTGTCCTCGTACACTCCTACAGAGACACAGGAAGACACACAGACACAGACAGTGTCCCTGTACACTCCTACAGAGACACAGACACACAGAGACACAGTGTCCCTGTACACTCCTACAGAGACACAGGGAGACACAGAGACACACAGACAATGTCCCTGTACACTCCTACAGAGACGCAGGGAGACACAGAGACACAGACCAGACAGTGTCCCTGTACACTCCTACAGAGACACAGGGAGACACAGAGACACAGACAATGTCCACGTACACTCCTACAGAGACACAGAGAGACAGGGACACAGAGAGACACAGGGAGACACAGAGACACAGTGTCCCTGTACACTCCTACAGAGACACAGAAAGACACAGAGACACAGTGTCCTCGTACACTCCTACAGAGACACAGAGACACAGACACAGACAGTGTCCCTGTACACTCCTACAGAGACACAGGGAGACACAGAGACACAGTGTCCCTGTACACTCCTACAGAGACACAGAGAGACACAGAGACACAGTGACATGGAGACACAGACAGTGTCCGTGTACACTCCTACAGAGACACAGAGACACAGGCAGTGTCCCTGTACACTCCTACAGAGACAGAGACACAGAGACACAGACAGTGTCCCTGTACAATCCTACAGAGACACAGAGAGACACAGAGACACAGAGACACAGTGACATGGAGACACAGACAGTGTCCGTGTACACTCCTACAGAGACACAGGGAGACACAGACACAGTGTCCCTGTACACTCCTACAGAGACACAGACACACAGTCCCTGTACACTCCTACAGAGACACAGACACAGTGTCCCTGTACACTCCTACAGAGACACAGACACAGTGTCCCTGTACACTCCTACAGAGACACAGACACAGTGTCCCTGTACACTCCTACATAGACACAAGGAGACACAGAGACACAGACATTGTCCTCGTACACTCCGACAGAGACACAGGGAGACACAGAGACACAGTGTCGCTGTACACTCCTACAGAGACAGAGACACAGACAGTGTCCCTGTACACTCCTACAGAGACACAGAGACGCAGACACGGAGACACAGAGACACAGTGTCCCTGTACAGTCCTACAGAGACACAGGGAGACAGGGAGACACAGAGACACTCCTACAGAGACACAGAGACACAGGGACACAGGGAGACACAGAGACACAGACAGTGTCCCTGTACAGTCCTACAGAGACACAGGGGGACACAGGGGGACACAGACACTGGCACATCGCTGACGTATGGCGATCGTGACGGGCACACTGCTGACGTAAGACCTCCACCCCCCACCCCAACTCCTCACCGAATTTGTCGTTGGGGCAGGAGAGGTCGTGGGAGAAGTTGACGGGAGCGACGGGCGGCGCCTCCTGCTGGTGCAGCATCACCACAACGCCGGCCACACGGCCACGCGCCACCTTCAGCTGCATCATGGTCTCCCTGCGGACACGGAGATCACAAAGATCCCAACTTATAGCTGCGACGTCACCACAGCGCTTGTGCCAGGCCAGGTGCAATCCGGGGCCACGTGAAGTGACGAAGGCTCACTAATGGCAGGTCACAGGACAGACCCAGGTGCTGTGGGTTGACGAACCGAGATGACTGGCAGATGCACATCAACTGTGACCCCTCCCATGCCAACTTGCTGTGTTTTAGCCGCCTGGCACTCCGCTCGTTGTTTTGAGCGTCACTCCTCTGCACTCGGCTGTTATTGGAGGGCGACTGCCTCTAACTCCCCAGTAGCGTCCTTCACGAGCCTCCTCCAGAGATACACAGAGACAAAGATTCCCCGTGAAGACAGTAACGGACTGTTGGTGCACGTGCTGTTAGCGAGCAGCGCCTACGACACACGACGGGGTGGGTGGCCAGCACCACGCCCAGCCGGCCTCCTTTGTCTCCCCAGTGGCGATGAATCAGAGACCGCACCGGGTACTCATTGAAGGCTGAGTCGACCAAGGAGAAGCTCAGGAGCAGTCCCGCTCCCCACCTTTATAGATATGTAGAGGAGCAGTACAGGGACATCAGGCCATGCGCGCCTTCCGGGACGATGACGTCACAGGAAGTGACGACAAGCGCGCCTTCCGGGGCGATGACGTCACAGGAAGTGACGTCATGCGCGCCTTCCGGGGGCGATGACATCACAGGAAGTGACGTCATGCGCGCCTTCCGTGGCAGTGACGTCACAGGAAGTGACATCATGCGCGCCTTCCGGGGCGATGACGCAATCTCTCGGGGAGATACTTAGGGACGACCCGGTGAGGAATACGGGGTCACTGTGGAAGCCTGGAACGGTAGACGGTTGAGGCAGGAACCAGGGGTAGGGTAGAGAGTCTGGAGAGAGCCGGCAGCTAGCGGGGCTAGGAACAGACAGAGCACAGGGTCACTGTGGAAGGACCCCCCTATGCCTGGTGAAGTGTCTACCCCTCCTCATTAACCCTAATAAACCCTCGGCGCGAGCCCTTACCTCAAGCCTGCCTCCGCATCGTCCTTCACTCGACAACACGTAGAGAGTGCGCCCACTAGGGGCCACAAGTGGTAATTACGGGGGTGGGAACAGTATAGGAACAACAGAAGACAGTATACAGGGCGAGCGACCACAAGGGGGGATAACTAGGCCAAGGGTCAAAGAGGGGATCTATCTGGAAGCTCCTAGAACCCGCGAGAGAGTTCGAGAAGAGGGGCGTGGCCAGGCGCGGGGCATGGCCGCGCTGAGGGAATAAGCAAGCGGGGTTCTGGGCTGTCGTGGGGGATCGGGGTCTTGGCTGTCGTCGCTGGCGTCATCGCTTCATTGTCGCTAAATAGTCACCCGGCTATCTAGGCAGGCGTCGTTGCTAGACAGTCAGCATTATCTTCTGTGCTACCGAGTCGTAGTTGTGTGTGCGCAAGGAAAAAAAAGCCTCTACAGTGGTGTGTCTGGAACTGTTACATTAAAAATCTACAGAGACGCACACACGGATTCATGTACAAGATCCTTTATCCTACCCTTCAAAGCCATCCATGGCGTTGCCCCTAATCCTCCAACCTCGCATCCCAGCCCCTCCCTCCTCTCCAAGGGGGTGCCACGGTGGGGAGATGTTAACTCTCTCGCCTGGTATGCAGGAAATCGTGGGTTCAACCCCAACCCTGACTCCCGCATATTTAAAGATTGCGTCTCTCTCCCAGTGGTCGTTTGGATTTCTCTCCGGGTCCTCCAGTTTTCCCTCCACATTTAGAGACATGCGTTTAGAGTATTTGGCTACTGCTATAAATGTCCGCATGATGACGATGATAAGACACTTCGTTGAGCTATCATTTGTGGCCAGGTCACTTCTGAAAAAAATCTATAGAGCTCAGTGGGCTTTACCTGGTAAAATAAAAAAAGCTTCATTCAGATGCGCTTCTGCGGCCGTCTGGAATGCGCTTCCTTGCAATATTAGGAAGCCACTGCAGCTATGCGCTTTTAAATCATCATCTAGATCAGGGGCGGGGAACGTCAGGCCCGCGGGCCATACAAGACCCGCGAAATCATTTGGTGTGGCCCTGCCAAGGCAACCGCAGGCGGGACTCGAAATTCAATAAATCTCGGAGCTTTATTCATCGCAACATCATCAATAGCAGCTAACATCACACGCCTCGCCAAAGAGAAGCAGTTCCAGCCATCACATTAGGGGCGAGTTAATGAAATGTTTGACCAAATATAACGGGTTATTTTTTGAGTTGATAATGTTGTATGGCCCGCGAATGATGTTATAAATATCCAAATGGCCCTTGGCAGAAAAAAGGTTCCCCGCCCCTGATCGAGATTGACGAAGTCATTTCTTTAGAACTTCTTCTTGTGTTGCGTTTGTTGTCCTCCCCGCACTTCCAATTAGCGCCGTTGGCTACGTATGGTGCGAAAGAAGTTCAACATACAAAGTTGTTGGCGTTGTTGTTGTCATCCTTTAGACTTGAAGGTTGACGCCCCTGACAGAAGCTTTCTCTCCTCCCGTGTGTCTCTTTCATGGCGCGAGTCCCAACTGTTTAGCTGCGTCCCACCAAATCGTTTTGTGTCTCTTTCATGGCGTCAGTCCCAACTGTTTAGCTGCGTCCCACCAAATCGTTTTGTGTCTCTTTCATGGCGCGAGTCCCAACTGTTTAGCTGCGTCCCACCAAATCGTTTTGTGTCTCTTTCATGGCGTCAGTCCCGACTGTTTAGCTGCGTCCCACCAAATCGTTTTGTGTCTCTTTCATGGCGTCAGTTCCAACTGTTTAGCTGCGTCCCACCAAATCGTTTTGTGTCTCTTTCATGGCGTCAGTCCCAACTGTTTAGCTGCGTCCCACCAAATCGTTTTGTGTCTCTTTCATGGCGTCAGTTCCAACTGTTTAGCTGCGTCCCACCAAATCGTTTTGTGTCTCTTTCATGGCGTCAGTTCCAACTGTTTAGCTGCGTCCCACCAAATCGTTTTGTGTCTCTTTCATGGCGTCAGTTCCAACTGTTCAGCTGCGTCCCACCAAATCGTTTTGTGTCTCTTTCATGGCGTCAGTTCCAACTGTTTAGCTGCGTCCCACCAAATCATCGATCCGTGCCCTTTCCATCTTCTTTCCCTCTTCCCATCGCGCTGTCCAGGCTCAACCCTGCTTGGTTTTAGCTTCCGAGACGCGACGACACGGGGTGATGCTGCGATGATGACAACAAGAGAGCGAACGGGAAGGACAGCGAACCTGGAGAACATGTAGTTGTCCAGCAGAGCCATGTAGGGCGAGTGGGGTCCGTCCTTGAGAACCCACGCCAGGTCTTCCGCGCCGGACACCAGGTGCAGCACGCCCGTGTCACCGCCCACAGACGCTGACAATGACAACCCCCACAACCCCCACAACCTTTAAAAGACCGTCCAAGCAAGTGATGTTCATGAGCAGCACCTGTTAAATTAACACCTTCGTGTTCCAATGATGGACTTGTACGTCATCAGTTTTTCTTGGGACGTACACATGCGTCGCGCGTGTCTCGTCGAAACGGAACCGGAAGACACGAGGGGGTGGGTGGCCAGCACCACGCCCGGCCGCCTTTGTCTCCCTAGCGGTGATGTTTACACACCGCACCATGTACTCATTTGAAGCTAAGTCGACCTAGCGGAGGCCCAGGACCGGTTCAGATAATCGTCACTGGTGTTGGCCGTGAGCGAGAATCTAACTCGTGGCGCCGGGTTCATAGCGCAGCGCGCTAACCGCTACACTACCGCTCCCCACACACACACATATTAACATACACACATTAAGAGACAAACACACACAATGGGCTGGGCCCAGGACTCACATTGGCAGCCGATCTGGTGAGTGCCGTTCATGAGCCTCACGCACGCCGCCGTGTCCTTCAGCTCCACGTAAATCTTCTGCTCCACAGAGTTCCCGTGCGCCCATGCTGCGAAGACAAACATCCCCAAGTGTATCCTTAGCAGGCTGTTGGGGAAAGTGCCGTTAGCGGGCAGCGCCTATGCAGGCCGCGGCAAAAGCACACGAGGGGGCGGCAAGCACCGTGCCAGGCCGCCTCCATCTCCCTCGTGCTCACGTTTACACATCGCACCAGGTACTCATTTGAGGCCGAGTCGACCTAGGGGGCAGGGCACAGCAAACCAAAAATAACAGGAAGAGCCGCATTTTTCTTTTCGAATTCGGTAAAAAATAAAAAAAACCCTAAATATTTCAAGAGCTGCAATGCACCGTGAATACGAGACGGTGACGCTGCTTTTAAAAATGTCATGGAGCGGTCCCTTGAAGAGCCGCTGGGGCCGCTCCTGAGCGTACGTTGTCGGACCCCTGCGCAGGGTGAACTGGGCTTCCGTGGTCAGGGGTCGGCAACCAAAATAACAGGGAGGTCCGTATTTTTCGCATTCGGTGAAAAAACACAATATTTCAAAGGCCGCCAATGGAGTCCTTAAAGATCCACAATAGAGGTTTGTTCTTGGGTCGGATCGCGTGAATATAAAAGTGTCGTTAAACCCGCCACCACCCGGGCACGGCCAATTGGTAAAGGTTAATATTCTATGGTTCTTTCGGTAAAGTCATGTAGATAAAAAAATAATACAAATAAAATAAAGTGAATAAAAAAATAAAAAAAATATCTAAACGTTTCGATCGCAACACAAGCGGTCGTCATCAGGAACAGTAAAGGTTTGTTACATAAGCAAAACGTGGCCAACTCGTTACAAACGTGCCAATTACATATCTGTCAACCCATGCGGTTTGCCCCGTATGCTTGCACAGGGTCTATACGCCGTCTATACGGTGTACAAGCGTTTCAGTGACGGGCAAGATGTGTTCTTTTGTTTATTTGTTTGTGTTTCTCCCTTGTGGTGGGACTTTATAGGATGAACGTTGACATGTGTAAGGGGCACGGGGTGACCAAGAAGGTCTGAATTGGTCTGTAATAAGTAAAGAGCCACAGATTGCCGACCCCTGACCTAAGGGAGGCTCAGATCATCATCTCCAGTGTTGGCCGTGAGCCAGAATCAAACTCGCTTGCAAGTGTTGTATATGTTGGGTATGAAAATTTGTTATGTTGTATGCGTGCGTGGGTGAAATTATTATGTTGTATGTGTGGGTTATGAATATTCAGTGGAAATAATAATAATTAATGAAATTTGGCCAAATGTGTAATTATCCGGAAATATGTTAATTATGTAATTACGCACATTTTAATTATGCCAATTCGAGAGGTAATCGTATTAATTATGCGAGTGGGTGTAATTATGATAACGCAAGTCGTTATGATAACCAGACCCCGGTTCACCCCGTTATCGCTTTAACATTTACTGAGTATGTATTAGTGTGTTTATTAAGGTCACCAAGTTCAAATCTCAACGCAGAAGCAGATCTTATGCATAGATTTCAGGAAAGAATCACACAACCACTTCTGTATTGATCAATTTATTACTAATTCAACCTTAACTATGATATAGTATGCGAACTCTCAATCCCTGAACGTCAATACGGCATCAATACAGTATCATCAACGATTGTCTGATTTCACTTTGACAACGGCACATGGATCCCGCATAACGCGATGGTTGTTAGTGAGAGAGAGAGTCGTTAAAACATGCAAATACTATGCTAAGAAAACCTTAACGTTAATGAATGATTATACTCAATATTGTTCACGCAGTACCGCACTCCTTATTGATCATACGCAACCCTTATCACGTTGTTAACACCTTGGGTCACGGAACAGTTGAATATTCTGTAGAGGATGCGAGTACGTGCGGCGATTATGACTGAAAGATACTTGAAAGATTATACGGCGATAAACAAAAACACAATCAAAACAGTTATTATTCTTAAAGGCACCAATCTCAACAGATACATCGGCAGGTTATCTCAGAACGGCTCGGAGTAAGGGCCTGCGATGGTGCTCCTTTTCCGAAGATCGTTATCTTATACCAAGTTTACTAATTGGGGACCAGATCACCTGATAAGGGTCCGGTGGGCCACCACTCCCCACGTGAGCGTGGCTCGGCGGAAGGAGGTGCCAAGAATCAGTTCGTATTGATGGATCTGTTGGGAATTTATGCGATTAAGAGTACAGCCCACTAAATATTAAAGATAAAAATTAAGAATACTCTTATAAACGACGGATGGCCACCACTCGGTCTCGTTGTGATGCTTTCCAGCCACGGATGGCTTATGGGTTCGAGTGTGTTTGAGTGGTAAGAGTTGTCTTGAATAGTCAGTGTTCGGAGTCGATTCTTTAGGTCAAACAGACGCCTGGTGGTCGTGTGGTGAGGGGGCGGTGCGCGTCATACGTATCCATCGCTCCCCTGTCGGATGGCTGTTGATACGCTGTCGCAGTTCGGAACCCGGTCGGTAGGTGGCGCCCACAACTCGCTCGTAGCGTGCAGCGCTGGATCGTCGCCAAGTCGCGACGCTCACCACCGGCGGCAGCGGAGATCTCCGGCGGCAGCAGAGATTGACGAGCTGAAGATGAGTCGAGCCGACCCGCTGGTCGCAGCTCGCTCCTGAGTCGACCCTCCCGGTCGAGCTCGCTCCTGGGTCGACCCGCTGGTCGCCCTCGCTCCTGAGTCGACTCTCTGGTCGCACTCCTGAGTGGACCCGCTCTGGTCGCACTCGTTCCTGAGTCGACCCTCCCGGTCGAGCTTCTGAGTGGACCCTCCCGTCGCACTCCTGCTGAGTCGACCCTCCCGGTCGAGCTTCTGAGTGGACCCTCCCGTCGCACTGGTTTCCAATGTTCAGGATCCGTTCCTTTATGCTGAAAAATCCCCCTGGATCCCGCCCACAAGGCGGGGCTTCCGATTTTTGCTGTGTCAGGATCTGTCCGTAGGCAGGTGTGTCCATGTGTGTGTCCGTATGTCCTTGTGTGCATCACTGACGGTATATTCCGTTGTCAACTCCCTCCATAAAACCCACGAGCAAACAACCAGATGTTACAAATTGTCTCGAAGTCGTCTCTCTGTCTGGGTGCAATTTATCTCTTGTCTGGCCTTCTTCATGAACCCAAAACACAGACGTTACAAATCGTCTCATAGGCGTCTTTGTTCGTGTTGCACAACCTGGAGGGGGGCAACACTCTCTCCGACCCGGCGCACAAAGAAATGGTTAAAAGTTTTAAGTTAACATTTGTCCCTTACTATTTCACAGTTATGATTCTGTATGTAACCTAAGGTCTGTCGTTTCCCATCGTGGTGCTTGACTCAAGTGTAGGTTTCCCCGAGCGTATACACACTCCTATCCCGCGCTGCGGGGATACAAAGACGGCCGGGATCTCCCTTTCTCTCCGACCCTGGGTTTAACATTGTTTTTTTTTTATTATGTATTTATATTTGACCTGGTGGTGATTCATCCCGTTATCCTGGCTTTTCCATAAGTTTAACTTTTGTCTTTCATGCATATACTTATTACTATTAATTTATTTCCGATATCTTAGGTTAAGGGGTAAGTTTCTTGATCCTAGGAATTCGTATTCCTTGGTGCCTGGATGGTTATATAAGCGGAATATAGTTTACGGTGAATAGCGTTAACATTGATGTTATGTGCGATATTATGTATTGTGATGTCTTTAACTTAACTTGTTTGTCAGGGCTTTACTGACACGAAGTTGCATTCCATAGCCTGCAGTCTTTGCCCCACCCTATCTCTGCTCGCCGTTGTTGTTGCCTGCCGTTAATTCAAGGCCTCATTAATTTCCGTCACCCCTGAGTAGGTGAGGGCGGTTGAACCTTGGAGTCAGTTCTGGTTTTTGTCTGCCTGCTTCTTCTTGTGTCCCCTGACCCCGGGAGTTATTATTCTACTTTATGGCCTGTCGAAGCCCCACTCGCTGTTGCTGGGCTGGTGTTGTTCCCGGCTTTTTGCTTACGTTTGCAGTTCGCCGTGCTCTTGATTTCCTTCCCTCTTCAACCTTATATTGACTATTCGCTCCTGTCTGGGTGCGATTCAATTTTGACTTAGGAAGGTTCTGATTGTCATATGCTTCGGGTCGAATTGTATAGAAAGTATTGAAGTATGGAAATAACATTTCATATTGACTTAATGATGGTGATGGTTCAGTAGGCGTAACTTGTGACCTGGTTTAATTGGAGTGGGTGTGAATATCAATAACTTTAGCCTACTCTGTTGTTAAATTCCGACTTTAACGTTACTTTAATAGCAATACAGAATAATTGAGCTTTTTGTCTTAACTAGGCGAATGCGAACTTCTGGTGACCCCCGCAGCCGTGTTGTTCAGCTGGGTCTTGTGCCTTGAGAGATATACAACCCTCTTTTAAATCACCTCTCCCCCTGCCAACCTTCTGCTCTGGGAGTGTTTATTCTTGATTCCAGGTCCAAGGCCCCCTCACATCCAGACGCGCAGGGTTGTTTACATCAGCTCCCCCCCTGTGCACGTGTTCTAACTAGCTCGGAATTCCTGAACACACAATCAGTGATGATTCCTGGTTTTCTGTGGTTGTGATTTAGACAAAGGCGCCTCTGTTTTCTTCCATTGCCTTTGAGTCGACACTGCCCTATTATTTGCCCATGTGCTGAGGTCATAGAATTCGTTTTGACTTCAGTAATATTAACATTCAGTATTGGATTAGCAAATGGGCAATGGTTCATTGATGTAGCTCGCAGCCTGGTCTCCAGTTTGAGCGAGCGCGAGGATCGATAATTTAGCCTACTCTGTTGTTGAATTTCGAATTTTGACGTTACTTTAAAACCATGCAGGATGATTGGGCTTTTTGCCTTAACTATGTCTGGCTGACACTCCCACTGTCTCTGCCGCCTGCACGGGTGACATGTGCCCGTTCATCAGGCCTTATCTTCCCTTGAAGCAACGTTGTAAATTCTGCCATCCTAGCCCTCCTCCGGTTCATTACTTAACAACACCTGGTGTTTTGCAGTTTGCTGCGCTTGGTGTGTTTCACTCATTAA